CCCCTGGGCTACAGCAGTGTCCCTTCCATTCAAATATGACTTCGCAGGCAGGCAGGCAAGGTCAGGCCCTGAGGCCTGGGCAGGGAAAGGAGGTGACTCACTCCAGGTCATGCAGCTTGACAGCAGCATCGCCCAGGCCACCCTGATGTGATGCCAAGTGTCTTGGGAATTGGATTCAACTTTTTTTTTTTTTTTTTTTGGTTGAGGAATGACCAAGTGATTTCGCTTAAATGTCCAACCGGAGGCTGTGGCTCTGGTGAGAAGAAGGGGTGGGGATCTGAGGGTGTCTGTGCGAGAGGCCCCTTTGTTGGCTCTGCATGGTGCTCACAGACTCATGGTTGGGCAGATTTCTGGATTTGGATTTTCTGGCCTGGATCTCTGTGCCCTGGACCCTGGCAGAAGATGCTTCTCTCCAGGCCCAGGGGATGATGGTTGGCGGGGAGCCAGGTTTTGTTCCCTAAATGGCATTCACATGACTTGCTGACCTCAGGGTCCTTCCCCTTTCTCTTGTCTTTTTCTCCTTCACTGCATTCTGCCCTGCTTTGGTTTCCCTTCTCTATTTTCCTTTTTTCAATCTGCACAAAGCCCTTGGAGGGCTGGGGCTGACCTGGGGCCTCTTGGCTCTGGCTGAGGTTGGTTTCCAGTTCCTGGACTGTAGCCCTGGGGCTGTCTGCCTTTGAGGGCCATAGTGAGACTTGGGAGGTGGGAGGTTTGGGAGGAAGCAAGCCAGCCAGTGAGGCAGTGCCTGGAGGCTGGTCCTCTCCTGCATCCTCAGGGCAGGGCCTCTGAACCACCAAAACTGATGACAAATACCTAGTTCAGGCCACAGCCACTCCCTACCCATCCCTTACAGACATGCCTAGTTCATCCCAGATCTCTTCCTACCAGCCCCTAGATCGTTCTCAGCAGAGAATGTGGAACGGAAATGTATCACCTCTGGCTTATAGCTTCATCTTTACTTCCTGGAAGATTTTTCCACCGTGGTTCTCAACCCTGAACGCTCAGCAGAATCACCTGGGTAACTTTCCAAACAGGCTGATTTCCAGGCCCCAACCTGAGATTCAGATTTCATGGGTCTGGAGTGTGTCTGGGGATTGAGATGTTGTAAAATCTCCCTGAGTGATTCTGCTATGTGGCCAGGACTGAGAGCTACTCCAAAGTGTTGCAGAGAGAGCACAGAAGGGCAGGTGGGGGACTGAGTTCGCGTCTGGACAACCCTCAGGTGGCAGCATGTCTCTCAGCAAAGCCCCTTCCCTCTCCAGGCACTGCGCAGGCGCACCTTAAGGAGAAATGACCGATTTACGGAGTTTTAGACTCAGAAAGGACCAGGAAACCAACCAAGCTATCCCCTCATCCTGCAAAACAGAAGACTGTGTCTGGAGGGGGTGGAGTAGCCAGGGTCTCACAGGGCACTGGCAGGGTTGGGGATGTGGGAAGCCAGGCTAGGCTTTGGGCTGCCGCCTCCCCCTGGCTGGGCCCCTCAGTGAGTCCTCTTTAGATTAGAATGTTGGGAACATGATGTCTCCCCACTGTTTACTCGAAAGGGAGCCTGTTCTCTCAGTGCCTGGGAGTGGGGGAGCAATGGCTAGAGTTAGAGGGTGTTGGTCTCAGCCAAACTTGGCAAGGGGACTTTCGCAGCGCCGCTGACTGTCTGCAGCTGTTTTATAGGCCCTGTGGCTCAAAAGGGGAAGTGTGGCTGCATTCAGAAAGTTGTCCACAAGGAGGAATGGTGGGGGTGGGAGTGGGGGTGGGGCTGACAAGGGTGGCCAGGCTGGGGAGCTTGGGGAGGAAGAGGGACGCAGGCAGGACCTGTGGACAGGGGTTTGATTTGGGGCCCACATGTTGTCACTTTGGAAACTCTTGGGTTTGAGGGGATGGAGATAGGGGAGAGTGTAGGGGAGGCAGACAGAGAAGAAAGGGGGAGGTCGGGAGGGAGAAAGAGCTCCCTGCTGCGAAGCCTGGCTTTTCTTAGGTTGGAAGCAAACATGAAGTGTGCTGGGAGCATGCCCAGCCATGCCCATGCCCCGAAGGCCCAGGAAGGGGTTTCCTGTAAAGGGGAGCAGGGAGATGGTGAGAGGTGCTGGAAAGGGGAGGTTTTCTCACCGTAGTCCAGCCCACAGTAGGCGATGTGAGAGGAGGAACTCTTCCTTCCCCCAGGCTATACAGAAATATCTCTGATATCTGAGTCCATTCAGGCCATGATAACAAAATATCATGGACTGGATGGCTTATAAACAGCAGACATTTAATATCATAGACTGGATGGCTTGTAAACAGCAGACATGTGTTTCTCACAGTTCTGGAGGCTGGAAGTCCAAGATCAGGGTGCTGGCAGATTCAGCGTCTGGTGAGGGCGATCTCCTCATAACCTCACGTGGCAGAAGGGGTGAGGGGTCTGTCTCAGGGTATAATATAAGGGCACTAATCCTTTTCATGAGGGCTCCACCCCCAGGACCTAATCACCTCCTACCTCCATCACTTTGGGGGTGAGGATTTCAACATATGAATTTGGGGGGGACATAAACATCTGGACAGCCTGAATGAAACGTACCATCCATATGGCCAGGAATGCATCCAACCCTTCCCAGGGCTGAGCTGGGGCTCAGGTCTCCATGATAGCAACAGGAAGATTGCTACACAAGGCTCCTAGCCCAGGGGTTGGAGGCTGGAAGACCTCAGAGGGCCTGATTGAAGATCCCCAGGCCTCAGGTTCCTGTTCCTGTTAGTGACAGGGAGATGCACCTCCCCTGCCCTATCACAAGTGCCCTGCCCCAGGCATCAGGGAGAAACATGGAGCTCCTGCTGGTCGTGGGCCACACTCCCCCTGCTTCCCTCAGGCCTACTGCTCTCCCTCAGTCACTGGCACCTGCAGGGTGCTGCTCTCTGCTGCCCCCCATGCCCTAGCCTTGTTCCTATTGTGTATGTGGGGATAGAGTGATGGGGTGGTGGAGGTCGGGGGTGATGGTACCATAACTTCAATCCAGAGCTTTCCTACAGAAGATCCTGCCTTCACCAGAAAGGTGCTTTACCAAAGCTCCTCTTCCCGAAGTAGCCCCACCCAAAAGGACCATGAGAAGAGGACCTTATCCTAACTTTGATCATATTACACTGGCCATAGAAAGCTCCACCATCTTTGGTGATAGAATCAGCAACCAGAGAGATCTGCTCTGAGAGTGGGAGTTAAAGCAGAGAGGGGAGGCTTGCATTAGTTCTGAGTCTGTGGTTGAGCATCTGATGTCAGAAGCATGACTCCCAAAGAACCTGCTCAATGTACCCTGGGGAAGAAGGCAACTCAACTCAACCCAATCCAACTGAACCCAATTCAACTCCACCCAACCCAACTCAACCCCACTCAACCCAACTCAACTAAACTCAATTAAACTCAACAAAACTCCCATTCATTCACTCCATGATTTAACTAGTATGTACTAGTCACCAACAATGTGTCAACCACTGTGCTAAGTGCTGGGGATGCTGAAGAGAGCAAATAAGACACAGCCCTGCCCTCATGGAGCTTCGAGTCTGGTAGAGGCACTTAAGGGCACATCACAGGTCTGTGTCTCTATTAAGCTCATAGGATGGCCAAGGGAGGGTAGGGAGAGGAAAGGCCGTTACCCCTGTGGTCTCAGTGGAGGGACAATATTCATATACACAAAACACTCAGAGAATAAGGCAATGTTTAGTAAGTCCATTGTTGACTCTGGTAACCACCAGCTGTGCTTAACCACTAACTAACCTTGAAAAAAACACTTTTGGCTGGGCGTAGCTGCTCACCCTTGTAATCCCAGCATTTTGGGAGGCCAAGGCAGGCAGATCACTTGAGGTCAGGAGTTCAAGAGCACCCTGCCCAACATGGTGAAACCACGTCTCTACTAAAAATACAAAAAATTAGCCAGGTGTGGTGGTGTGCACCTGTAATCCCAGTTACTTGAGAGGCTGAGGCAGGAGAATAGCTTGAACCCAGGATGCAGAGGTTGCAGTGAGCCAAGATTGTGCCACTGCACTCCAGCCTGGGTGACAGAGTGAGACTCTGTCTGGAAAAAAAAAAAAAAAAAAAAACCCAAACAAAACAAAAAAATTAGTTCTGACATAAGTGTACTGGACTGGAAAATCCATGTGGACCCTGCCATCTTTCTTGGTTTCTTCTTCCATGTGGCTACCTACCCCCTTCTCTTCTTCCCTCCACCTCACTTAGAGCTAGAAACCTTACATGGCAAATAATTGGATTCTAGGTTTGATTAAATGCCTACTATTTACAAAGTGCATTGCTAGCTGCAGTAGGATTCAGAGGTAAACAACACTGGCCTTCCCCTTAAGGACGCTGAGCCTGACTTGGGTTCACAAATTGCTATGACAGAAGACAGTGAAAGAGGCATGCATCTTTGGACTGCATTTTACCAGTTCAAATATTTTATTTTTAATAATATGAAATGCACAGATCTTAGGTGTGCATTTCCAAGCATTTTGAGTGTGAGTGTGACTGTGTGTTGCAGGGGGAAGGTAACTGGAGAGCTGAGTCCCTTCCCTGGGTATGGGATTTGGAATATCGGTGCCATGATGTTTCGGTGTGTCTGCTGCCTACTGTTTTGGTTTTTAAATTTCAAACTTCAGAAAGGTTATAAGACTATATAAGGAATTCCTATATACCCTTTCCCCAGATTCACCAATTATTTACATTTATGAAATCATTTGAGAAAAATTTAGAGACATATTGCCCCTTTACCCTTAAATATTTCAGTTTATATTTCAAGGACATTCTTTTACATAGTCTGGCTTCCTCTTAGCTGAGCCTTGGTCATCTCATTTTCAGACAGTATTGGGTCATTCTATATCTTAAGTAAAGCTGATTTAATGGGAGACAGAGCTGGATTGGTTTTCTGCTTGATGCTGTGCTGGTGGCCTGGCTGCTGGGGGCTGCCTAGGTCACAGGGTCCTCCTGGGAAAATCTGTTGACTTCCGCGGCTGTGCTTGAGTCTGCTTGTTACTGGACAGCTGGTCTGTCCCCTTAGAGGCTTGGCTGAACTCTGTGCTCTCCTTCCCTCTACTTTGTTCTCGAGTTTTCTGCACATTCTTCCACCCACAGATGTGAATGTCGTGTGATGTTGGCTTTCCAGTGTCTTGCATGGCGTGGTAGCAGCAGAAATGAGCTTGGCTGGGCACCCTCTCTGGGCCTTGGAGGACAGCCTGGGCTCTTCTGAAAATACAGGCAGCTTCCTTTCCCTGACTGGCCTGGAGGAGCAAGGCCCTGTGGTGCGGTCTGGCTCTGAGGCCTGTGGTCCTGCTTGGGACTGGCAGTCTTAGGCTGAGAGAACATTTTCCAGAGTATAGCCGAGGGACAGAATGTCTCAGTAAGACGGGCTTGGAGGGGCAGGGTTTTGGAAAGGCCTCTGCTTGTTCTGGGAGGCGTTCAGGATGCTGAGGTTTCGGAAATTCATGGCGGCTCTTCACAACTGCTCCCAGCTTTGGGAGGAGGAATAGACGGGTGCTCGTTTCCTTGGGTTCAGTGGCAAAGGTGAAGCCCAGCACTGCCGACCTGGGACCTGGGCCTCTCCTTGGCCTGGGGAGGACACTGGACTTTGAAGAGGAATGCAGCCTAGAAGGCCTGGACCCTGGAGTCATGAGATGCTGCTCCCATCCAGTAAGCCCTGGCTGGAGCTCTGCTGGGCACTGACCCTGGCATAAAACCAGTGGGGCCTCTGGGCCTGCACTCAACCGTGCCTCTGATGGAGCAGGTAGGAGAACCCCCCACAAATCCACGAGGCAGAACAGAACACGCTGGAGGCATTTAACCAGGCAGACAGGTCTCCTGCAAGGAGAGGCCAGGGAAGGGAGAGCTCAGACGCCCCGAGCTGCCAGGGAATGCTTAGGGGAGGAAGTGAGGCCTGAGACCCCCTTTCTAGCACCCTCTCCCTTCTTCTGTTCTGCTTTTGTATACAACCAACATGCCCACGGTCCAGTTCCAGCTCTGTTCTGTGATCTTGGACAAGTCTGTTTATCTCCTTGGGCCCATTTCCCGCCTGTGAAATGGGACGTGGAGCACTGGAGCCACCTTCCTGGGACAGTGCTGAGTGGTAACGAAATGTTGGCGGGCTTCAGGGGCACTTGGAGAGCTTAGGAAAATGCAGATGCCTGGAAAGTTGGGAGCCTGAATCCCCGGTGGTGAGGCCCAGGCGTGTGTAGGCAATGCTTTCAACCAGCTTTCCTGGTGGTCCTTGGAGCGGAGCTGGGTTACTGTGGAGGCACCACATCCCCCGCCCCTAAATTAACTGCAGGCTCCTCAGACCCAGACTCGGGCCTTTATTCCTGGATGCATTTTTCCCGGTGTCCGGGAGGGCCTGGTACAGGTGGGGGCACCCGGGCCTGGCCACTGGGCCGTCCACCGGCCCCTCCCACCCGGGAGCCGTGCCACGGCCTGGGCAGCCTGGACGCAACCCCCCTCCTTCCCTATGAGCCAGCTTCAATGCCCCGCATTACCATTTCCATGGCGCCCTCCTCCAGGGCCCCATGGAAATCACGAGGCTTTCTGAGGAGTCGTGCAGACTTCAGAAAAGACCCCGGGCCCCCTGCCCACCCCAGCTCCCTGGCCGCTCTAATCCCGCGCGGGGCGCGAGAGACAGAGCTCCCAGTCTCCTCGCGGCCCGGCCGGGCGCTCATTCTCCCACAGAGCTGACGTTTCTCTGCGGCCCAGCTGGCTGCAGTTTTTAGAAATAACAATATCCCCGGGGGGAGGAGCGGCGGGGTGAATGGGCGCCTTTGTCCCGGGCCCTGTGAAGCCCGATTAATTATGCGCGGCGGAGCGCGGGGAGCGCGGCCGCCGGGGCCCCCCCTGGGCGGCTGAAAGGCCCGGGCTTGGGAGCGCGGCCGCCGGCTCCGCGCCGCCGCACAAAGGGCCGCGAATTAGAGAAGCGGCAATTACCCCGCATTTTGTATGTGCCCTTGTCTCGCTGACACTGTGGACGGCCCCTCCCCGGGCGGCTGCACTTTGAGGATTTTCAAGCCCTTTCTTGGTTACCAGGGGCGACTGGGCAGAGGGGCTGGGGGCTTGGGGAGAGGGGGAAGCGCCAAGGGCCGAGTGGGATCGTGTGCAGTGGGGGGCGTCCCGGGGTGGGGGGCAGGGAGCGGCGTGTGGGTATCGCCCCTGGGGACCTGGGCCTCAAGTCTAATGCTCTCTCCAAAGCTGGAGCCCGTTCAGCATGCAGATTCCAGGGCCTCGCCAGAGAGGACTCCCTGACTCAGTGAGTCTGGGGCGCCCAGGAAACTGCATTTTACCAGTCTAAATATTTTACTTTTAATACTATGTAACAGAATATAAGATATAACAGGGAAATGAAATACACAGATTTTAAGTGTGCAATTCCATGTCACCCACATCCCATCAAGATATAGAACAATTCCATCACTCCAGAAAGTACCATGGATCCTCTTTCCAGTTTCTCGACCCCACTGCTCATCCTCCCAGGTAACTACTGCTCTGATTTCTAGCACCATTCCTAAAGTTTCATCTGTTTTTGGACTTCATGATAAATGGAGCCATACAGTATACATTTGTTTTGTTTCTGACTATTCTCATTTGGAATCATGTTTTTGAAATCCATTCACATTGTGTGTATTAATAGTTTAGTTTCTTTCTTTTGATTAAACAGTTTTTTTGATCCATTCACCTGTTGATGGACAGACACCTGGACTGTTTCTAATTTTTGGCTGTTATAAATAAAGCTGCTATGATCGTTTTGTATGAGTCTTTTTTTATGTGAACACGTGTTTTTATCTTTTGGGCAAATGTCTAGGAGTGAAATTGCTGGGTCATAGGGAAGGTATTTAGCTTTAGTAGATTCTAAAGTGGCTGTATGATTTTGCATCCACACCAGCAATATATGAGGGTTCCAGTTGTTCTACCTTTTCATCAGCACTTGATATTGTCTGTCTTTGTGATTTTAACATTCTAGTGAGTGTGAGGTGGTATCTCACTGTAGTTTTCTGGGTGGGTGATTTTAATGCATGAGTTCCAAGGATTACACTTGGAGAAAACTCCTGTCTAGTCCAATCCTTGCATTTGCCTGCAAGATCCAGCAGAGGTAATGTCCTCCCCAAGGCCCACAGGATGAGGACACAGGACTCCCGTCCCAAGCTAAAGCTCTCTTCTTGGTATCATGCTACCCCTTTGGCCTATACCTCCTGAGCTTGTGTGTATGAAGCATGAATGGTGCTCTGCCTAGGGCCGTTCAAAGTGGACCTGGCAGGACACTTCTGAAGAGTCTCCACCTGCCACCCAAGTAGCAGCATCCATGGGACTCAGGTTGAGAGACTGGGCTTGGCCAGGTACATGTGGTGTGCACGCGAACATAGGAACAGGGGTAGGAAGCTGCTGGTTAGCTACCTTTGACTCTAACTCCCAGGACACAGACCTGGCTTTACTGCTGTCCACCACCTTGCCATACATTTGAAGAGCCAACTTACGTGAAAGCCTAAACCCTGAGAGTTCCTCTGCTTCAGGCACTCATGGGGGGCTTTGCATATTTTCTGATCAAACACAGAGAAGATGCTTGGTGGATGGGAAAAAGAGAGCAGGAGTCCTGGGGCTTCCAACGTCTTCCTTTATCTGTAAACATTGTCCTACGTGTGCTTTTTTTTTTTTTTTGAGATGGAGTCTCACCCTGTCACCCAGGCTGGACTGCAATGGCGCGATCTCAGCTCACTGCAACTTCCGCCTCCTGGGTTTAAGCAATTCTCCTACCTCAGCCTCCCGAGTAGCTGGGATTATAGGCACACACCACCATGGCCAGCTAATTTTTTGTGTTTTTAGTAGAAACGGAGTTTCACCATGTTGGCCAGGCTGGTCTGGAACTCCTGACCCTGCAATCAGCCCGCCTCAGCCTCCCAAAGTGCTGGGATTACAGGCCTGAGTCACCGCACCTAACCTCTACGTGTGCTTTTTAAGACCCTCCAGAACCTGGCCTGACCTATCCTTGTTGCCTTGTTTTTTCCTGCCTTCACCTCACACGTGCTGCTCCAGTAATAGTGGACACTGGTCTATTGTTGTTCCCCCACCCCTCCCATCCCCATCAACACAGGTGGTGGGGATTGTGTTTTCCAAAGATGACCGCACCACAATATATCTTACAACCCACATGCTCTTGCAATGTGACTGACACTCCTCCCACTGAGAGGAAGGGGGTCTCTGTTTCCTTAATCAAATTGGGATAGGGGCTTGAGACCGCTCTAACCCACAGACTATGGCAAAAGGGATGATTTTTGATGCTAAGTCATATAAAAGCTAAAACTGCCACCTAGCTCTCTCTCTCTTCTTTGGGATGTGTGCTGTAGGAATCTAAACACTGTGCTATGGAAATGCCCAAACTGGCCCACATGGAGAGACCCATGTGGAGGAGATCTGAGGCCTCCAACCTGCAACCAGGTTCAACCACTAGATTTGTGAGTGAATGAGCTTTTAGATGATTCCAAACCCCAGCCTTCAGTGCTTCCAGTGGAGGCCCCAGTCAACAGAGAGCAGAGACAAGCTCCTCCTGCTGTGCCCTGTCCGGATTCCTGACCCTGACTTGATACCAAACATAATTAAGTGTTGTTTTATGCCAATATGATGATAATTTGTTACACAGCCATAATGACTGGAACACACACAAGATTTCTTGCTTCCTCCCCATGTTAATTCATATTCCCCTTGTTCCAAGCCCAGCTCTAAGCTTGACTCTTCTCTTTCAGGTTCAGCTTGGTTGTGACCTCTGCTGGAAGCCCTCCCTGGCCCCCCTGTGCACTGAGCTGGCGGTTCCTCCTCTGTGCCCCAGGTACATGCTCAGATCTGTGTACCCTCCACCTTGTCCTCCAGCTTTGTGTTTGGATGTTCACACTCCCCATGAAAAAGGCCCCCTGAGAGCTGGCACAGTGCACGTTTCCTCTCCAGACTTCTACGAACCTGGCACATAATTGTTTGCTGAAAGATGGCATGTTCCTAAAACAGAGGAAGTGGAACCTGAATAAAGCAAAATCCAACTTCCCACTCCCTGCTCTCACTTCCTCTGGGACAGGCCTTGAGCAAGAGAGACAGAAAGAACAAGAGATGGTCTTTCCCTTTAATGGGATTTCAGTCTGATCAGGGAGATAGTAACAGAAAGACTAGATTAGACTAGTGTATGATTAAATGAGATTTGCCATCCCCAGAAGAGGGAGAGATCTGCATGGAACAGGGTGGTCAAGGCAGGCTTCCTGGAGGAGGCAACGACTTGGATTTCATAGTACCAGAGCTCCAGGATAGATCCTCCTCTGATTGAACTCCCCGTTTCTTTCCCACACCCCAACCTTCCCACGTTCCCAGCTGAAGGGATGTGTGTGTGTGTGTGTGTGTGCGCGCGCACATATGCATGCACACATGTACACATGTGGTTGGAAAGGGGACATTAGTATCCCTCTCCTAGGATGCAGTCTCAAGGACAGGCCCGTCATCTCCTCAGTTTGCCTCTCTCTCTCCCACTTCACCTGGGGAATGGAATAAGAATGGGATAAGTATAATACAATGGGGCGAATGCAGAACCAACTAGATGTACACCCAAAAATGTGGATGGACCTTAAAACAGTGCTGCCTGAAGAAGGCAAGAAATAGAATGAAATCTGCAGCACATCATTCATATAAACTAAAAATACATGTGCACAGAAAGGCAACTTTTTCTTTTTTTATTTTGAGACAAAGTTTCGACTTGTCGTTCAGTCTAGAGTGCAATGGCACGATCTCGGCTCACTGCAACGTCCACCTCCTGGGTTCAAGCGATTGTCCTGCCTCAGTCTCTAGAGTAGCTGGGATTACAGGAGCCCGCCACCATGGCCAGCTAGTTTTTGTATTTTTAGTAGAGACAGAGTTTCACCATGTTGCCCAGGCTGGTCTTGAACTCCTGACCTCAGGTGATCCACCTGCCTCGGCCTCCCAAAGTGCTGAGATTACAGGCATGAGCCACTGCACCCAGTCGGCAACATATGTTTTATAGAGACACAGACAAAGATGTGATGTCAAACACACTAATGTGGTTGCCTCATTCATAGATGGGGGACTGGGCTGGTGAATGAGGATTAAAGAAAGAAATAAATAAAACAAGAGAGGGTCTCTGTACAGAACGGTGATGACAGCGTGCCATCGAGGAGAATGATGAACTCAAGCTTTTGCACCTGAGGGCCAAACAAAATGTCAAAACCAAAATCACTCTTGGAAATTATGCCACCAACTTTAGGATGGCACTCATATCTGTGTGAGTGGGAGAGAAGGGATATGGGGCAGGGATTTGACTGTAGCTGTAATGTTTTATTTCTTTGAAAAATATAAGGTAATCTGAAGCAAAATGTTAATATCTGTTGAATCTGGGGAGAGGCTATGAGGGTTTCTGTTAAACCATTTTGTGTACATTTTAAATATAGTCATGCATGGGTTAATTATGGGGAATAAGTTCTTACAGATACATTGTTAAGCAATTTTGTTATTGTGTGAACATTATCGAGTGAACTTACACAAACTTAGAATGGAATAGCTGACTACACACTTAGACTATATGGCCTAGCCTATTGCTCGAAGGCTGCAAACCCTTACTGTATGTTACTGTACTGAATAATGAAGGCAAGTGTAACACGCAAGTATTTGTGTATCTAAACATAGAAAAGGTACAGTAGAAATGTGGTATCATAGTCTTATGAGACTACTATCGTATATGCGATGCTTTGTTGACTGAAACATCATTATGTGGTTCATGACTGTATATCATAATTAAAAAAAATGTTTTAAGAGATTGCCAATCAAGACACTACAAACTAATTTTGTGGCTTTTGCCAAAATTCGTTTCCTTCTTTCTTTTTTGTTGAGACAGGGATCATTCAAGCAATCCTTCTGCCTCAGCCTCCCAAGTTGGTGGGACTACAGTCATGCATGCCACCACGCTCAGCTAATTTTTTTTTTTTTAATTATCAACTAGAGATAGGGTCTTGCTATGTTGCCCAGGCTCGTCTCAAACTTCTGGACTCAAATGATCCTCTCGCCTTGGCCCCCCAAAGTGGGATTACAGACGTGAGCCACCGTGCCTGGCCCTGGCTTAATTTTTTATTATTTTTGTAGTGACAGGGTTTTGCTATGTTGCCCAGGCTATCTTGAACTCCTGGCCTCATGTAATCCTCCTGCCTTGGCCTCCCAAAGTAGAATTCATTTCTGATGTTGGGTTGGCCTCTGAACAATTTTACAGAGCTGAATGCTCTAGTTTTCTGTGACACGGTCTTTTTTCTTTTCTTTCTTTTTTTTTTTTTTGAGACAGAGCCTCGCTCTCTCACCCAGGCTGGAGTACAGTGGTGCAATCTCCGCTCACTGCAACCTCCAGCTCCTGGGTTTAAGCAATTCTCCTGCCTCAGCCTCCCGAGTAGCTGAGACTACAGGCCTGCGCCACCATGCCAGGCTAATTTTTGTAGTTTTAGTAGAGATGGGGTTTCATCATGTGGCCAAGCTGGTCTCGAACTCCTGACCTCAAGTGATCCACTCACCTCAGTCTCCCAAAGTGCTTGGGATTACAGGCATGAGCCACCACACCCGATGACACAGTCTTAATAAGGAGAAGAATATGAAGAATTTGACTTTTTATTGATGCTAAAAGCATTAATAAACAAGAGCTTTGGAAAAATGTGGAAAATGGAAAATGTCACTGCCTGCTGTTTGTAGGGTGAAATCAAATGGCTAAACAGCTATAGGAACATTTTGTTCCCACTGGTTGGGTCAGATCAACTTCCCAGGACTTTGTGGGAAGCTCACAAATGCTAGACAATCGTACTGCACTGCTGTAGGAATTCTTGGAGGGCTGGAAGGCTCACAATTAGGGCCTTTTCTCTGGGCACCAACCTGACACCCATGGCAAGGGGGCTGAGCAGTTGTCGATGGCATAGATGCTACATTCTGTGACTCCTCCTGGCCCTAGCCATGGCTGATTGGTATAGAGGGTCAAAGCTGGGCCAGTCAGATTATCTCTTTCGAGATTCTGGAATTCTGAACTAGGGCGGAGATGGGGAGCTGTGAGAACGCGGTTGCTTTAATGGGAATGTTCTGGTGAGGAGATGCATTGACTCCAGATGCTTACATCCTTTCCTGAGGCTTAATTGTTCAACCTTTTCTTGAAATTTGATAAATCCATTATTGTGATTTGTCAGGGCTGATTTCTATGACTTGTCCTATGGAGTAGGTTACTATATTTTTGTCTTCTCACCTTCCCCTGGTGCTGCTGTTAATACATATGGTATCTTTATTGAGTTAGAAAAAGATGCCTGGCTCTGGGTGGACAAGCAAGAAAAAGTTTTTCTTTCCTCCAGGCAGACACAGTCCCTCACCAGGGTGGAAGGTGTGGCTGGTGGAGTGCAGGCTGGGTTTCAGGCCATACTCTGCTCACTTCCTTGGCCCAGTCCTTTTGTGCATTACACAGATGACATCCCCATTTATGGCGGTCTTACACCTGTCCACCATGTGCTTTCAGGATGATCTATCTTCTGCAGCTAAGCATCATTCAGAATATGAAGGGCTATTCCAGACAAGATTCACGGGACATGGTCTATCATGCAAGTCCCATTCTGGACTTTAAGGCTCGTGACAAAGATGTTCAAAGTCAAACCTGCTCAAAGTCAAGACTTAAAGGAAATGTAGGAAAACTCTCTGGCCTGATAAAGTCCACAGAAGCCTCATCTTCTTCTGATGAATGATCTTCAGGCTTGAAAGGATGCCTTCCTCCAAACAGACTGGCAGACATTCTTGAAATGTCAAAGGATAGGCCAGGGGTGGTGGCTCACACCTGTAATCCTAGCACTTTGGGAGGCCAAGGTGGGCTGATTGCCTGAGCTCAGTAGCTCAAGACCAGCCTGGACGATGTGGTGGAACCCCATCTCTGCTAAAATACAAAAAATTAGCCGGGCATGGTGGTGCATGACTATAGTCCCAGCTACTCGGGAGGCTGAGGCGAAAAAATCACTTGAGCCCAGGAGGCGGAGGTTGCTGTGAGCCGAGATTGCACCACTGCACTCCAGCCTGGGTGACAGAGTGAGACTCCATTTCAAAAAAAAAAAAAAAGAAAGAAAGAAAGAAATGCCAAAGGATACTCCTCCATCCCCCTGTGAAAAACACTAGTAGTGAGAACGTAAGACCAAGAGCACAGGAACAGATAACAAGGAGGTGTCTGAAGGTCACAGTGAGAGTGACATGGAAACCAGCCAAGGCACTGATGGCCATGGGAAAAAAATGATCTCAAGGAAGAGATAATTCCTTGAGAGGAGGCTGCTCCAGCTCGGATTTGTTCATTCATTTTACAGTCAGGAAGCCACTCCACCCCCAAAGAAGGTAATATGAGTCCTACTACCTTTCTGAAAGGAAGCTGGGTAAGAAAAGCAAGACGGTAACTTTCCCAAGTCAGGGAACCCCTGTCTCCCCAACTTCTGCATCATGTAGACCATTTGTGTCCACAACTTACAGGAGGCAGTGTAGACTAGCAGTTGAGAATGTGAGTCTAGAATCAGAAGGCCTGGGTTCAAACCTCAACTCCATCACTTTCCAGCTATTTGGCCTTGGACATATTACTTAAACTCTTGTGTGTTTTAAAACATGTACACAATCCTTTGACTCTCTTCCCATCAAGAAGTGGAGCCTATGTCCCCTCCCTTTGCAACTGGGTGGAAATGTGGCAGTGCCTAGACAAATAGAATGTGGCAAAAGTGGCACTGTGTAATTTCCAAGGTTAGGTTAGAAAAGACCCTGCAGCTTCTGATGATTCCTTTAGGGACACTTGTGTGG